TAAAAAATACATATGAAATATTTACAAACGAAATGGTAAGATACCTGGGATTTGCTTCAAAATTACAGAGAGGAGTGGGAGGGGGCAGTGGTTTAGATTATAGAAGAAATAAACTAGCCAAGCATTTATTAACAATTGAGGCTGGATACATGGAGGCTCATTACTGTACCTTTGTAGATGCTTAAATTTCCCATCCAAAAAAAAGTTAAAAGTAAGAAAGTGATGTGGTGGAATGACTGCTCTCTTGCCCAAGGGGTGTCCACCCCACCAGAGTTCAGGACACTTTACTTGGACCCTTGACTCATCCTTCTCCTCTTCTACTTCAACTGCACATCTGCTTTTGGCCATTTGGCCTTCCAGGTGACAGTCTCCTGGAGTGAGCCTCGATGCTCCTGCTCCTGCCAGCTACTGCATGCTCCACAAGGGATCCACTACCCAAGCTTTTCAACTTCGTTTTTTGGTATAAGGCAATTAGATTTTAATTTTCATGTTTTATTCCTACAGCCTTTGGGGCTTTCTCTGTCCTATTTACAGTCGAACGTTGTTGTTGTTGTTAGGTGCCATCCAGTTGATTTCGACTCATAGTGACCCCATGTGACAGAGTGGAACTGCCCCACAGGGTTTTCTAGGCTGCAACCTTCCTGGTGGCACAACAGTTAAGCGCTTGGCTGCTAACCAAAAGGTTGGCAGTTCAAACCCACCCAGCGGCTCTATGGGAGAAAGGCCTGGTGATCTGCTTCCATAAAGATTACAGCCAAGAAAACCCTATGGGGCAGTTCTACTCTGTCACATGGGAGCACTATGACTCAGAATTGATTGACAGCACCCAACAACAACACCACCACCACAATCTAATTCAGCTCTGCCGATCACAGTGTTAATGTTAAATGTGAAATGTACATGACAGATAAGGGCAACAATACTCCTATACTTGATAATGGATTCAAAGCGGCCACTACAGATCATGATTACTACCTGTAGGCACTCCGTGCTTAAAAAGATCAATGAATAACAAGTATCTGCCTATCATCTCCCCGTGAGGTGCTATAACACTTCCATTTATGTAACACTGGTCCTCAAATTCAGTTCCAATTAGCTAGTTTTTTCTGTAATGCAATGAGAGCTAGAGCTCATGGGGTACATGGGGACAGGAGGCGGCAAAGGACTCGGAAAGAAAGGGGGACAAATTTGGTGAACTCAGCCTGAGGCACAGGGACTATCCTGAAAAACTGAGCCATAGGTGGCTGCTGCTGAAACTGAGTCTTTCAGACAAGTCTGTAAAGCTGTTCACCTCAGTTTCCTCCACTTCAATCTAGTTTCCTCAAACCAAGTTTTAGCAATTCATATAAATGTATCTCCATTCAATTCCTGCCCCTCCTTTGCAGAGAAGACAAGGAAATAATTAGAAGAATAAGAAAACACACAGAAGCACATACACCCTCCATCATTCCTACAACCTCTAATTATTAGCAGCGGCAGAATATTCACATTTCCCTACTCAAGGGCCTAGAACAGCAGCTAACTGGTTGATGTAACCTGTAAAGCACGTGGCAGATTTTTAGGACTGAATGAAAGATAATTATTAGCAGAAGCAGAATATTCACATTTCCCTACTCAAGGGCCTAGAACAGCAGCTAACTGGTTGATGTAACCTGTAAGGCATGTGGCAGATTTTTGGGACTGAATGAAATGCTGTAAAAGTCAACCTAATTAGAAACAATAAACTATGGACCTCTTCTCAAAGCAGCATGTATGTCTGTGTGTGTGTATAAATTAGATGAGATAATATATAACATAATATATATGCTTTTCAAAACATACTATATCACTTTATTTAATAACACATCATATATTATACATATAAATTCCCAAAGCATATATTACAAATAATATTTATTTCTATCTATCATGTAATGGTAATCATATATGTATCTGCTATATGATACACATTGTTTTATATATAACAATATGTTATACAGTAGATGCCTTGAGAAACATATAAAAACTTCCTATGCTCTAAACTACAAAGGGACAAAAATATATCCAGTCACCTTTATTTACTCAATTGCAGATGGGGAAACCAAAAACCAAACCCATTGCCATCTAGTCGATTCCAACTCATAGTGACCCTATAGGACAGAGTAGAACTGCCTCATAGGGTTTCCAAGGAGCAGCTGGTGGATTTGAACCGCTGACCTATTGGTCAGCAGCCGAGTTCTCAACCACTGCACCACCAGGACTCCACAGATGGGGCAAAGGGCTTAATATTCAGGTGCTGTCATCAAGCCCTCTCCACTCTGGCAGCACAACGGATTCCCCCACAAACAG